TTTCCTCCTTTTTTTTTTTTTAATTTGGCGAATGTCTAAGCTTTGAGCATTTCAAATTTTGAAACTTTTTTCACGGTCAGCACTTGACTTCAAATGAGAGGGAAGAGGTATTGCTGAAACGACATGTCATTAATAAATCGGTTTTATACAGTCATCGTTTTGTTTTGAAATGTTTTTTAAACTTCTTTTTTGTGTGAAAAATTTGAAGTGTACCAAGCGAAAATACGGAAATAAAAAATACGTTTCTTTGTGTTAAAGATGTAAACAAACTGTACCTGTCTACAATAAATAAATAAAGAAACTTAGACCGAAATTAAATTTTGTGACAGTACATGTTGGAAAAACAGAAATCATTATTTGAACAAATCGAGACGGAAAAGTGCACAAAGTGCTAAGGTGGGAGCTATATATATAATTTTTTGTCAATATGGTTATCAGTTTTAAGCTTTGTTGTTTTAACTGCCTTATTTTTTCCATTGCAATTTATGACATTTTCTGATGAAGTTGAATCAGATATGGAAGCAAAAGTAGATTTACTTTTGATATTCTCAAGAGAAATGCTTAGAAAATATAACGTGTAAATTTGTTGAAGAACAAGTGGCAAAAAAAGTTTTTTTGAAACCGATTTGTACAAATAAGCATTGCATTAGTAAATGGAACTGTAAAGAAGAAGAAGTTAGGCAGTTTAGAGGACGTTTACATATCCTTGACGAACTGTGCGTTATTGGACATTATTGTTTAATATTTGGAATTCCTTGTGACACTCAATTTTAGCTAAATATTCCATTTGTTAATTGCTTGAGAAGTGACTAAATAAGTCTTTTTAGAATTTAAAAAAAAACGGGAAAGATTTTTTTAAATTGCCGTTTTCACTTTAATATGTTATCATCGATTATTTATTCATTGCAACAAAAATGAAATATACATTTCATGAGATATTAATAACTGCTACTGCTCGGGATATAATCTGGTTATGTGTTGGAGGATTACTGTTGGAAGTACTTGGAAACCAGAATTTGTTGGTGATTTTGGTAATTACAAGCCTGATGGCATCTTCTTCTTGAGTGTAGTGACTTAGTTGGTTCCTAGACTGGTCCAGCTTCAACTAGAGGTGATAATTTGAGTGCCCGATTGTAGAAAGATTCCGGAAATTTTTTAGACGTTTGCATTGTTTGAAGAAGAACATACGAACTTTTGAAAGCGATGTTTTCCTACAACATTCTTGCTATTACGAATGAATAAAGAATTTCAGAAGCCTGTCAGCGTCGCACAAAATTGACAACAGTTTTAGAATACAAAGTAACCGTCTTCCCATTCCCGTTTGCAATACTTCCATACCCTCGTTTCTCAAGATTATCAGTGAGAATACATCGAAATGTAGATCTAAATTTCCAAGTGACATTTTGAACCTTAGCTTTATCAAGGTATTTTTGAGCTACAAGTTTTCAGAGAGAGTGGTGGCAATATTGGAGCCATTTTTTTTTCGTATATCTCAAATGGTGTTTGCCTCCGATATGGAGGTCTTGGGGAATTAACTTTTTGCCTTCAAATTTTCAAGTCACATCTTAGCAATTGAAGGTCTCAGTGCAATCAATTTTCTTTAAAACATCTCCTTTCAGCGGCGAAGAGACGCAAAAAATATGCAAAAAGTTGAGCTGTATGGTTGAAAAAGAGTGTGGAATAAGATAAAAAAACTCCGCTGATTTAGAGCAAAGTTCAGAATAACTTTAAGAACGACAGTAGGAGAATAATTTGTGCAAATTACTGTCATCCTTTCCAAGTCCTAGCTAGGTCGCGATCACATTTAGAGTAAATCGAGTGTAATTAATGGAAAATAGCTCACTTGTCAAAGAAAAAAACTTTAACCAAAAAGTACCAAATTTAAGGTACAAAAACACAAAAAATGGAAAAAAATTGTTCCTGAAATACAGTTAAAAAGAATGGCAGTTTGAAATTGGGACAAGGAATGGCTGGAAGTGCACTAAAGAAATGGGACGATACAAAAAGCGATAAAGCACACTGAAAAAATGAAGAATTAATTTTGAAATAGTCCAGGATCTACAAAATCTAAGTGGACAGTTTGAAATCAATAAAAATTTGAACTTATTTTATGACACTTTTAACTCTCTTAATGTTTTACGGAAACAAATAGTACTCAGAAAATGCCGAATTGTTCAGCACAATTTGTTGAAGCAATCCTGTGACTTTGTTTGACAAATAACCACTGAAAATACTTGGATGGAAGCAAAATCTTCTTTTAGAACTTGGGTTTTTACCAGTATTTACATCCTTGCAGGCTGCTTCTCAGGCTTCTGTAGAGTGCTTGTAACGTGTGGAGCAGTCTCCAATTTGTTGCCAATAACAGAAAGAATTTTGAAAATTAGAATAAGAACTTGTTCGAAATGAGCTTCTTTTCAAGAAGACATGTCAGTTTGATCAAAAATTGTCAAAGAAACCTTTAACTAAGTTATCTTAAAACTTAACCAGTTACAGAAGTTGAAGGTTTCTAGTCATTAGTAACTACATGCTGTAATTAAATAGAATCATCACAATCCAGCTGCTATATCATGTTAAAATAGATAATATCTCTTGTTGTAGTACTTTGAATTGTCACTAAAATTTTATAAACTGAACTATGATTTATATGAGAACAAGTTCGGGTTTTCATATTGTATAGGCGAAAATAGTCGTACTTTTTAGCCAAATAATCCCACATTTTTTTCTCATCCATAGACAACAAAGTGCTACCGTATGAATAACGAACCAGACGTATCCTCTAAAAAAGTCATCCACACTTTTTAGGATAAGAGACGGCAGTAAGTTTAAGTTCCCAATTAAAATATGCTGGTATTTTCGTCATGAAACAAAGACGAGAAAAAAAGAACTGAAAACACAGTATTATGAGCTTTCCCGAACATACAGGAAAGGTTACTTTTTTTTTAATTTTAACCAGATTACCATTTTATTCCTAGCTAAATTTCTGAATTACAAATAAAAGAAGTACTTTTGAAAAAACTTTCTAATTCATATATTACCAAAGTAGGATTACACCAACTAATATAATTTCATTAAACGCAACTGAAAAAGTCTTTTCACTTCAATAAAAGCAGTTACTAAATTTCTAAACTAAAATAACAATAACAAAATGATCAGCGGTTACTATCTTTTCTTTGAAAAAAATGCTGAAAATTTCTTCAAAAACACTTAATTTGTTGAAGTCAATTGATTATGAGCTGCAGCATATATGTAATTTATTGCTGATAAACTATAAAATTTATTGCTGATAAACTAAAAAAATACAAATAGATGGTTTAGGAAAAAATTTTTTTCTTTTTTTCTACAAATAAAAGTTTTCTTTATCATTAGTAAGACAACACTTAAAGAGGGCTTATAAATTTACGAAAGATGTTGTAGACATTCTAAGGTTTATTTTTTCAGTCTTGAAGATAAGGTGTTTTCAATTGGGTTATTAGATTATTTAATTAAAATGCGACTGACTTTAGCTGTTCAAATGAGATTCGTTTTCTTTTTTACTAATAGAAAGTTAAATTTCGTGAATTTGGTGATTGCAAATTAGTGGTGCAGTCATAAGCAGCGCTGTTTGACGTTAGATTAATGCTACTTAGTCTGTTTAAAGTACGTGCTTTGAGTGTAAGGAGTATCGCAACTGTCAACTTTGTCGTTTGGCTATTAAGCATCCTTTAAAGAAGCACCAAAACGCTGGTTTTCAATTAAAAATTTATTATAAGACTGAAAAATGATTGTCTGCAGGAGGTTTTATACTTCGAAACCTCAACGTGCTTTTGCCTCAAAATTTCTGAAAAATACTTGCTTTTAGTCATACCCTTAACTGGTTTAATTTCTGCTCAAAGGTATCGACAAATATTGAAAAAATTTTATTGCGGTAGCCACCTGGTGGATTCGTTTCATTTTTGTTCTTAGAGGTTTGTGCATTTATATTACCCGGCAAAAACTGATTAAAGCTGGTAATTTAACCTAAATGTTTTCACTGTTTCCCAGATAGTTGAAGACCTATAAAAAGTAATCAGTAATGGCAGCTACTTTTATACATTTCTTGCTATTTATTGCAGAAAAAAGTTTAAAAAAAGCTGTATTTAATCAATTATTCAAAATTCTAAATTTGTCACGTAAAAGATTAAGCTTTTTTTATCTTATAACTTTTCAAAGTTTTTTTTTCAATTATTTACTTCCACTTTGTGATTTGCACAGATGTATCTAGTGGAAAGGTTCAGTAAAAAATTAATGGAGGTACAGAACTTGGTTCACTGACCTAGTGACGTGGCTGGTTAGCTGACAGAGCAACTGACTGATTGATTGAGTGAATAAATGAAGAGATGAATGAATAACCAAATAAGTGAATGAATGAAAGACCGAATAAAGAAAATAAAGAAATGAACAAGTGGCTAAAATTATTAATTGATTTAATAGCTGATACTGAACAATTGGTTTAATAGCAAAGTTTTTTCAATTTTTATTTATAGCAGCTTATTTGTTTATTTATCTGCTTGTTTACTTAAAGGTTTATCTGCAAAATTTCCTTTTTTAGCACTCCTAATTTATATTTATATTGCAGTTTACAATTCCTTAATTTTTGCACTTTCAATCTTTTTGGAGAAATTTAGTTTTTTTACAAACACAAGTTCACTAACTGCTGAGCACGCCCTTCTTCCTGCGGTCATTCCTACTATTATTGTCGTCTGGGTTCGCAAACCCAAAATTGGTTTTGTAAAACTTAAAGTTATTAAAAACCTCCATCACTTATGTAATATTACTGCCGATGGAACTGGAAAACAAATCTTCAGCTTAGCCGTTACTTGTTGTACAGTTCTCGCGGTAATCTAAAATTTAGCATATTATTTTTGCATTCTATAGACTGAAAGTATTTTTGGTGTTCTTCTTGTACAGTTTTGCTAGGCATTATTACTTCAAAGCTTATGCTTTATTATCTGTAGGCAGCAAGGGAACAAGGGATTATTTATTTGGTCACCAAGTACGACTACGTTAACCTTTATAATATTGAAACTGGAGACTGTATTTGTAAAAACCGTATTTCATCTGATCCAATTTTTATATCGACCGAATATACTGAGACGGCAGGTATTATATTTGTTAACATGAAAGGGCAGGTGGATTTTAACTGTTATTTTTGATTACATCATGCTTTTACGAGTAATTAGTGACTTCCAGTTATGGAGTTTCGTTAAGTTTTTTAGCCAGTAATATCAGTAATTTGTTTCTCAAAAAACGTTAATCATCAAGCAATAAAAAATTTTTACTCAACATTGTAGCTTCTTTCTGTTAGTATCAACGAGTCGAACATTATTCCATATATCAAATACACCCTCGAAAAACCTGATCTTGCTCTGAGGTTAGCAGAGAGGTGTAGCCTACAGAGTGCCGAGGATCTGTTTGCTCGGAAATTCAACTTGTTGTTGGGTAACTGTAACTATACAGAAGCTGCATAGGTTGCTGCTACCGCTCTTGGTGTGGCTTTTCATTCTAATCTATTACTTTATTCTTTTTTAGTTGCCAACTTTGGTACTGACTAGATTATTTATAGAGCATTTTGAGAACACCTCAGACGTTTCAAAAGTTCCAGTGCTGTGCAGAGCAAGGTGGAAAACCCACACTTCTGCTTGAATATTTTGATGTACTTTTAAAACACGGAAAACTGAACAGTTATGAAACTTTGGAGTTCTGCAGATATGTTCTTACCCAGGTTTGTTTAGTTGTCTTTCTTTTTGTAATTTCACAGATTTTACAAAGAATTCTTTTACAATGACCGTCCTTCATTTCTGCTTTTCCTTTAGTGAACCTGCTGGTTATCTAGTGTTTAGGGCAAAAAAGAACTTCTTGAAGACCAGTTAAGAGAAGGGAAACTGGAATGGAGCAGCGAAAGTAATGATCTTGCAGAGCGATATGGCGTCACTGTTCCAACTCACCTGCAGGAGGAGTGTTTCCTGTAAAGTGCGAATCATTATTTAATAAAAAAACTCAGTTTTAACTTGTTGGTTTGTTCAAATTCGTGAAGTTTTTGGAAATAAGTGTTTGGACAACCGAAAAAAGTTTTTGTTTCATACATATTCAAGAAGAAATTTTTAAAGCTTTCATACAAGCAGTTTTTCAATCTATTAAAATTTATTGAAAATGTCGTGATTTTCATGTGAAATTTCCACCAGTAATGCAAACTTTGTGGGGCAACTGAAATACTTTTTTTTTTTTGAGCAACTAAATTTATCATTGAAAAAATAAAGAATTGTGTGATGACGATCGGATTGCTTAAATTTGAAAATTTGGTATTGGAAAGACATGGCAAGAACTTTTGCTTAATTGAAAGTGTTCATTAATGTGTACTTTTTCTGACTATTTTTTTAAGGTAATTAATAGCACAATTCAATGGTACGTTCAGGAGGGTTCTTGTAGTTTGAAAGTCTTGTAGTTTTCGAAGGCACTATTTAATTGAATTCGTTAATAAATATGTTTTCAGATGTTCAATAGTTTACAAGTAAACATACCATTGGTAAACCCTAATTTTTTTGCTAAACGGTATCACGCAGGCTAAACAACTGTGTCAGGCATAACTTTTCAAGGTATTGAATGTAAAATGGTTATTGGCTTGGTACACGAGGCAATATTTTAAATTTTTTGTCACTGATAAATCATTTCATGCACACAGTCAGGCTGTAGTTTCTGCGTCATTTTTTTGGCATCCATTTGGTAATGCTTTCATTTTTGGCTTCTTTAGCCCCGCACATATATCAAATGCTTTATAAACCAAACGAGTTAAGAACTGGGAATAAGTTAGGGGTGCCCGTTTTGGAAATTTCACTCTCTTCAGTTAAATAAGATATAAGGGGAGAAGAAAGTTCCAAATTGTGAAACGGCAACTGCCAATAGAAAAAGCTTTAGAAAATTTATTTCACTTATATTTCTACGACAGGAAGTGACTTCAAAAGTGAAGGAAACAAGTCATAGTAATAAATCGTCGACGGACATTATATCACCTTAATTAGAATTCAAAAACTACTCAGTAGTCAGTAGAACCCAACATTTCTGCCATACTGAATTCTTCCTCTAAAATAGTTTTTGAGCATGGATTTAACTGTTTAAAAAATTAAAATTTTTACAAAAGTGAAGAACTTATTTGTTAAAAAAAACGATTTAGGGTCTTCCATTTGATTAACCAAGAAGCCGTTTTCTTGATTCTTGAGGTCAACTTCCTTTTCGACAGTCAAAATAATCCAGTAAAAACTATGTCCATGATAAGGCTATTAAGCTCATTAGGGAAGGATTACTCAAAATATTTATCTTTCCGACGTAGAAATAAAGACACACAGTTCGTCACAGCACTGCGAAACTTCTGTTCATTGAGTTAATAATTGCACTAGAACCAGGTGCTTGACGTAAAGAGCCTTTCTTCCTTTAAAATCTAACTGGTTGGACTAAAAGCACTACTGCAAGTGTTTCTATAGTCTTGAAACACTACTAATTTTTTGTCCGATAGCGAATGACAAAATTTGAACTTTTAGCACATATGACGTTCAAGCTTTCGAGATAAAGCTATGCTGAAATACATTTAGAAAAAGTGGCGCAGGTTCAGTCACTACGAGTCCTCTGTAATTCAGCAAATTCAAGCTCAATAAAAATTTAATTGTGTTGAAAGTTCTTCCATGTCAACATAAACGAGCAGTGACTTTTAACCCTGTTAACTTTACACAGCAAAGAAAAATAGGCAAGGCAGCACGACTCTTTTTAACCACCTATAGTCTTCAAACAGGAACACCCGGATTAATTGCTAGTGTCCAAAAACACGGCGGAAGAGTATTAATTAATATATTCTTTGAAAACTTATACAGTTCTCGTAAAAAATATGTCGTTTTCAGTCTATTACGTGAACTTTTTATTAAATATGTCTAAGTGCTAGTTCTAATATTTTGGAAAGTGTAAAACCAGCTTCTAAGTTGCTACTAATATGTATCGAAAATTCCTTATAATTCTTTTCAGTTTTATATTCCAAAGCTGCGCATATTATCGCTATTTCATCGTCTAATAAAACACTTTTTTAAGCACTCGCATTTTTGTTTTCCACGGTGATAGACAATACTTAACAATGACAGTTAGAGGGTTAAAAAGCATACCTTCAAAACAGCTGTTCCCGGAATCTCTAAGCATCTTGGAGAAGAACTACCACCATTGCAGTCTAATTCGTTCACCTCGAAAAATGCCCCATTCACATGCTTCCTGTCCTTTTTAAACTAATTTCTCTTCTATGCTTTACTCGTTCTTTTGAACTTTGGGAAAATCTCTGTAACTTTCCAAAACCAGTTAGGGATTTTGGGTACTGTTTCTCAGTGAGTGAATTTACTTAGCAGGCGACAGTAGAACTGCTTCCGGAAAAAGATGACTTATTTGAAAAAGTTAAGGACGTTCAGGCGTTTGAGCTCCCTTGCTATAACGGCTTCGCATGACTCAATCTCAGTTTCAGACCACAGTGTAATTTTACACTTGTGAATAATGTATGCATACTCCCAAGCTGCTGATATTTAGCTCAAATTAAGATCTATATACCCTGCCGTCGCTCCATTCATTGAAAATGAGTTGAAAACTCTTGAATACCGAGAGCTGCATATAACTGATAATTCTAAGATGTAGCTGCTTCTGATCAAAACCTGGTAACCTTTAAACTCTTTTGAATAGAGGATTTAACTGCCCAAATTCTTTACTCTCGAAACAGGAAGCGAACCTGGATAAATCAAAAAACTGACAGGTAAGCCAAGAATTTCGGAGGCCCGTTGTAGATGCTTAAAACGAAGAATGCCGAAAATCCAAAACTTCCAGAACTGACACTTCAATAATTGAGAATTTTAAAGTACACCCTCCTGTACTGAATTAATATAAATATGAGTGTTACCGTTCCAGCCGCACTTTTATTTTACGTCAGACAGTTGTCTTTTATTAAACATCCCGAAATTTTACGTTCAAAATAACTGAGTAAACTTAATGATACTACTCACTAGAATATCAGGTTAAAAAAAGACCTGAATGTTCAGGTTACGCTCAACCAAATACTCAAAAATGTGATGTATTTATGCGACTAGACAGTCCAGTTTAGTTCTGTAACCGTTAAATGGAACAAATAATGTATCAGTCGAAGTATGTCCATCTTCTACACTTAGCATAACAATTACTGAATTGTTTGGTAAAGCACACATCGAGTGCAAGTGACCAGTATTGCTTATTTGCAGACACTGTCTGAACAGCCTATATACGTATTTATAGGCTGGCTCATTTAGTTGGTTGTTTTCAACAATTTCAAAAGTAAGGATACACCTACTGCTAGTGGACTTTACCGGTTGGAAGGCCTATTTTTAGAAGATCTGCTTCAGCTAAAAGATACGATCAGTTGTACAACACAGGAAATGAAACTGTTTTAACAGTCAGCCAGAAGAACAATTTTTTTAACCATATATTCTTACAGCGTTGATCTCTAGAAGTTGTCTGCAACGAATTTCACTGAATATTTGTGTATAATACCTCTCGAGTACAATCACAAAACTCCGTGTAATTTATTTGAACTTCCACCAATAATCATTGCTTGCTTAATAATAGCTGGAGGAATTGGAACTCTCGCGGTTAGAAACCATTCGACTGTTGCAGCTCTACAATCGCAAATTTTGCAACAATGAATTGGGAGCAGTAGCAGCAGCATAACCAAACCACAGAACCGAAGTAGCGGCAGGAAAGCGTTTGGACTATAATATAACGACTTATGTCTTGCACGCAGTCAAGTTTCATTATGCAGTTTAAATCGATGTAACCACTGCTTTGGTTAAATAAACCCGTATATGCAAAATTTTCTTTTATTTTTCATCTTCTTATTTTATTGCTGAAAAATCAATACACCCCCTCAATAAGCAATAATTTTTACCATTTTTGTTCATCACAAAATTCCCCAAATTTAAGCAGTTAGATTTCCACCACACAACTACATGCTTAACATAGACAATCAATTTAATCGTTTGAAAAGAGCCCACAGTTTAGTGGTTTTGGTTGGTTATGCATTGCTAATGACATTTCCGCAACTGTGATATTTTTATTGAATCTTAACAGCCTTACTGAATTTTTGCTTATGTTACATTTTACTAATTCTTCTTCCTTAATTCTACCGGATCAGAAAAAAAAAAATTCTCTCACAATAGTTTTAAAAATTCTTACATTGATCAGCTGATATTTGCTATTACGTTAACGTGGAGGAGTGCTCATATTTAATAATTTTTATAAATTACAGTTATTCTTGTTCAAACTGCTGTACGTAACGCTGGAATGCGGATGTAGGCTTTCTTGCCATGAGTTTTTTTTTTAATGTCTGGTGAGCTGTTTTAATGCTCACTTAGGGTTTCTTTTTTTTTAATTTTAAATTTTCCGTTTTTCGTGTAAATACGATACAAGCGTCTGGTATCTTTCAAAATATTTTTGTAATAGCAGTTCCAGCAGTCTCTGGTGCGAGTATGTTGTGACTGGTTAGTGCGCACAATTGAATAAAGGACGTCTTACGAGGAAGAGGAGGGTAAGGAAAGATGTGTCGTAGGAAGGATTTTCGGGTTCAAACGCATGAAAGCGTTGAGTTTTTAAGTGCTAACCGGGAGTTTTCCAGACTAATCGCAATTGGAACAAGACGTAAGCTCTTTAAAATCAAATTTCTATCCCTCCCGTAAGGGCATACTGTAGTATTTCTATAACTACAATTAGTTTGGATAAGAATTGCTTCTGATATCTGTATTAGTGCTTTCTGGGTTTAGTAATGAAGATATACGCAATGGATGATGATCGCTTCAAGTTTATTACGGATTTTAGAACGCAGCGTGGCCGGAAACATCTTATTGAGGCGCCAACACACGTTGACTGGAACAGTCTTAACGGTTAGTTATTATTCAGGACTTCATGATTACTTCTATTAACACTTCATATAAATTGACTTTGTTAATAAACTTAGTTGGAATACCGTTCAGATAAGCTCGTGGCAACAAGTATGGCTGATGGGACAGTTGTTCTGTGGGATGTTGAGAAAGAAACTCAAAGTAAGTAGAGCAGAGTTGTGATTTTTGAAATATGTCTAAGTGATAAGTTTCTGGATAAATTACATATAAGTTAACGAAGTAGTTTTTTGCTAGAAAACATTTATAATACGCATGGACATAGGGCCGTTCGGGTCTGCTTCAATCGTGGTGAAGCAAACCTATTGCTAAGTGCAGGAAAGAACTCGCTTTTATTGTATGATCTGCGTGATGCAGTTCCTGTAAAACGGTTTTGGTAAGAGCTTTTTTCTTCTGCACCTTTAAACCGTATTAATAGTTCCTGTCAAATTTAGGCAATTTTTCTCAAAATATTCCTTCGTGAAAAAGGTTATGTTTTAGTAGTAGTAATATTCTAGAGAGTAAAACCTCATGAGGATTCAAATTTGTTTTAAAGACACTGGTCTTAAGCTTTTAGTAAAGATTCGACTGATATGGTTTATGAAGTCCAGTTCGGCTTGCACGAAGATCAAAAGGAGTTTTTCGTTGTTTCTGATGAAGGTGGCTTATTGAGTTTTTTTGACATTAGAGGCGGAGAACGTCCTGCACGTAGATTCCTAACACATCGTGGCACTGCATGTGTTACCTTCAATCCAAATTATTTGGATAGAAGTCTTGTTGCCACAGGAGGCCAGGATAAGTGCTTACGGGTTAACTTTTGAAAATTACATTCTTCAAAAAGGTTTTTCTAAGTATTGAAGAATTGTTTGAATCTAATAATAAGACGATGTAGGAAAAATTGTATTTTTTGAATTGAAGAGGAGAAAGAGAAGGTTTCGATGGGCAGACAGCAAAATTAACATAGACAAATTAGTCATTAATGAGCGGAAATTATTTTCAATCGGGATTTTATATTGTGGAATTACGTCCCTAATTTTGTATGTTCTTCACTGTTCCACCAGCAATCAAATTGTGAATACACTTTTAAAATGGACACAGATTTTCCTATTAGGTGTGGAACTGGGCTGACTTATCACGAGGAAGTTTGAACGACCCTATATATTCTGTGGAGACATATACGGTCGTTAATCGGGTTTTTTGGAAACCAAATGACAAATTCCAGGTTGTTTTTTATAGCAGCATATCCCTGCAGCTGTACCCTACTTTGTTATTGTTTTTCTTTGTGTATTTTTCTAATTAGAGAGGCGTGGATCATTTCTAAGGACTCTTTGTATTGCAGATAAGCAGTTGTTCGTTTGGAGAGGATTCTAATATATATATTTGGGATGTTCGTAGGCCATTCTTTCCTTCTGCGGTCTTTAACGATCATAGAAAAACCCATTGTGCAGGTGCTTGTTTGTCACCGTGCTAAGTCACTACGTTTGTTTTTTACAATGTGCTATTTGTAGACATGATATGGAATTGGAACATTGAAGATAGATTTGTTTCTGTGGGCAGAGATGGCGTGATTGTTTTCCATTATGTCGAAAATGCCGAACATCCTATTGATTACATCAGCGATGTTTGTGCTGATACTTCTCCAAACATGGATATTGCTTTCGCTGGTTTCTTATATGCATTTTATTACTGTGCGTGTGACTTAGATCGTATAATTTTCATCACTTAATGCAGTTTCTTGTAGTAAGTACTCAGCTGAAGACTAAAAACGAAGAATTAGAAGTGAAAGAGAAATGTCGAGAGGGTAAACCAGTTGCTCCTCGTCGTAGGAAATTCGATCCGTTTCAGTCAGCTGTAGAAAGCCATCTGTTTTTTTGTGTTCCTAAGAGTTTGAAAAAGGTTTTGTCAGCGGATGACTTTTGCTTTCTGGCGAAAAGGTATAATTTTGTTTTGATTTAAAATTTCTAAGGACTTCAAGAAAAGCCAAGTGATTTGTTGTGCTTTATGAGGAGGTTTTGTAGTTACAAGCTGTCTGGAGCAAACGTGAAATCACTCTGTGCACACAATAGCGCGGTAGCGGAAAAAATTGGTTGTTTTCATCTAGCACAGACTTGGAGGACGATCGCTGTCCTTGCATCATTTTCACCCACTGCAGAAGATAAGTCCCAGGGTTTGTATTACTAGAGTTTTTCTAACCGACTTTTCCTTTATGCCATCTTAAAGCTAGGGCCGGAAAAGTGCCGGACTTTTCTTAAATTTTTAATCTCTTAAGGTCAGTGTTTTTGTAATGGAAATTTCAACATATTTAGCTAACACGGAAATCGCCGTCAGATCTCGTTTTGTTTCCGCTCGTTACGCTGGTAAAAAAGGTTTTCGACCTATTGATCACAATGCGATCGCATCGCTTTTTGCTGGTCAGGTGGCTGCTGCAGGCTTCACAAGCTCTTCAGATTTTTACTTTGGTGATGGTGAATTTAATGCTTATGGACTGCGAACCAAATTCTTTGACACAAATGACCAAACGTCAGTTAACACTACGCCACTTCTTCGAAATACATTTTAATTTTGTGACTGTGATTGAACGAAGCCCGCGCTATTTTAGACACTTTGTCGGCACTTTGCCGCCGAAATTGGAAGCTTTTATGCCAACTGGTACTGAAGACTGTGTTACTTTTAATAACATATCTTCTGCTGATAGTTTCACAAAAAGTTTTACTCGGCGAAGGGAAGTCACTGGTGGTATTACTCCTTTAGGTATTTCCTTAGCTTCATTTTTACGCAGTTATACATAGAATGTCTTTCTTTTATTTTCAGATTTTGTTTTAGGTGACTTGTCAGTTGACGTCGATCGTTCGTCAGAACTGTTCTGGGACCCATTACCCATTCTTAAAAAAATATTGTTTTATTATGCAGAACTTGTGAGTTTGTCGTTCTTTCCTTTTTTTTAAGCGTTTAATTGAACAACCAAAATTACTTTCTATTTTTTACTATCAGTAAAGCTGCTTCTTCTCTAGTTAGGCATTTTATAAGCGACATGAAAGTGTGGACTGTTACAGGGCGATGTGCAAACTTGTGTCTCTATTCTGTTAGTTCTGGGGGCGAAAATTGCAGATAACATTGACTCAAACACGCAGATCTTATGGTTTCGAGATTATTTAGGTGAATAATATTAAGCTAGAAATAAAATATTGGGCATTTATAAAGTTGAAGCATATTTGATGAAATTAGTTTTAGAGTTGTTAGATCGCTTAGAACTTTTCGTCACTTCCGCCGAAGTTATTAAATATTGTTGGTTCCCTTCCATCAGTACTCTCAGCTTGCAGGTGAAGTTCTTTTGGTTTGTTGTCCATTGAAGCAGATAGTAACGGTTCCTCACTAATTCACCGCAGAGCAACTTGTTAAATTCATTTGTTTGAAAGAAATCTCTTTTTTTAATGATTTTTGCTGTAAGAAAAGCAGCGCATTAAATGGATACTTTGTATCATTAGGCAGTTTACATAATTCTAGAACTTTTGTGTTCTTCAGTCTGGCAGTGAGGCTCTGTAAGGATTCTTGAATTAATGCTTAGATTAGCTCCATTTTGTAAACTTTTCTATGACATTATTTTATGCCTTTTGCAAAAAAGTAGTTTAAAAGCATTTTTCAGTAACTTATTCCTAATTGTTTTTTTCTTAAGAATTCATTTGCTTTTCTGTAGTTGGATTTGTTTTGCAAATACAGTTGTTAATATTTGACTATTTTACAGAGCACGTTTGCTCGAGTCGCATGCTTAGAGTGCAAAACAGTTTCACTGCGTTCTTCCCCCTACTGCATGAAGTGTGAACAGAAATTCAACTTTTTATGCTGTGTTTGGTATATTTTGATTTTTCTGGGTTACATAGAGCTTATAGTTTCTTGTTGAACAGCTTTTCAAGGTATTGTTAGGCTCTTTAAAGTTTAAGGCTGGAACACGTGTATGCAGATGTTGTACATAAAAGAGTGCTTCGATTTATATTCGTCTTTGTCTAATACTTTTACTGTGTTTTTATTATTTCAGTAAACTGCCAGTTCGAGGCGTTTGGGGGTGGTGCAGGAAGTGCAGACATGGAGGACATCCTAATCATTTAGCTGAATGGTTTTCTTCATATTTAATGTGTGCTCAAGGTTGTGGATGTGAATGTGCATCGTTTAGGTGAAATTACATGTATGTTTAGGTTCTTTTTTTGGATGTTCTGTTTTTGAAGGTCGAGTTAGAGCTGTAACTGAACGCGCATAAAAAGAACCATTTTTAGGAAATATTTATTCCTTGCGTTGCTTTGATAACACTGTAGCACGAAGGCAGCTCAGAGCTTTTAGGAATGTATAAACTTAAAGTAATTTGTTTTTCCTTCAACCTTCTTTGACGCATTTACTGTTGGAACTTAACAGGTGTCGTCACAAACGGATATTTCTAATTAAAAACCTGAGAGTAAGCTTTTTAAGTTTTCGGTCATAAACCTTTTTTCTCGGAACGTTTTCTTCTACTTTTCTGGATTAGTCTGACTCCAGTTAAATTTTTCTGACTCATCTAGCATAGCAAAAAAACACTGAATGAATAAGAATAATGACAGGAAAGTGAAAGACTGGTTACAGAAGGAGAAGTAATAGGTTGCTGAACTTTTCAAATTATCTGTGTCTGTTGGACCCTCTTAGCATCTTCTTGCTTTGAAAACGTTAAAAATTTTAGCGCAAAATTTATCTGTTTATTTGATATGTTATTTCTGCACCGTGTAATCTATTTCTCTTTGCTTGATGTAAACTTCCAGTTCTACAGTCTTTCCGTTTTACTTGTAATAAAAATGCTATTCATAAATAGTGTGCGTACCGTGTTCACTCATGCGTTGGTTTTTGGTTGGTGTTTTTTTGTAAAACTTCTATATTTTCCACTATTCCGCGTTTGTTGTTTGCCTACTTTTTCTATGCAGGAAAAGTGGAAGAAAGAATTCAAGAAGTTGGGTGTTGGGGTTCAACTGCTGATTTTTTAAATATGTTATAATGATCTCGTTCTTTGTTTTTTCAACGTTTATTTCATGTGCATTGAGAAGCGCTTCAGTTTTTGTGACTGAATCTCATTTGAAAGTTCATATTACTTCAGGTCACAAGTTTTCGTTGAAATAGTTTTGTCATATAGAACGAAAATAAACTGTTGTAGGGTAAACTGTTACATTGATGAAGTAGGACTAGCTTATTTATTTTGTTTTTGCCCAATAAAGCATCTTTTGTTGAACAGTAAACTTTGTAGCTTGTTCAAGATAGTCTGAAATTTGTGCCTGCTTTATTACTACAATAATTGTTTGTATTATTAGATTTATCACTTGATTATGGTCTGTGCGTTGTATGCTGTCAATTTTTTAACAGTTCGAAATTTCAAAACTTGTTGATGTAATTTAAATATAATTGTTCAATTTGGTCAAAGGTTTCTGTTTCGGTTGTTCGGTTGTTCACAAAGTAGTTTAAAAAAACCGTTGTATGTTGGTTTTCTTTTTAAATCGACTGTTTAACTTTTCTGCTTGTTACAGGGATGCTCAAAGTGGTTGGGACATGCTACGTAAGTGCTATTCAGTGTCCATCAGTTTACTGGTCATCACACAGAAGAAAAATTGTAAAATTTTTTGTAAAAAAATTTATTCATAGAGGAGGAAATCAGTGTACGAATTACAAAAAGTACTGCTGTTTTGGTGTCGCGAGTATTTGCGTTATCAAACCTGCACTTTTAAAAAAGACACTTTGTTACTCTGCGAAGGTTACTGTTTCTTATAGACTTTTCATTAATCTTGTCATTATTAAGTTTTCTTTATCTTGATGGAAGTATATAATACTTTCTTAACAGAAATCCGACTTACTGCACGATGAGAGTCCCTGGCTTATTTCTTCCAAAACAGTTTACAAAACGACCCCGGTAGAAGACTTGTATTCTCGTTCAGCTTGTATTCGTACTGTGTTCCGTGTTTGGCACTCAGTCATTTTAATGATAAAAATTTTTGTAAGGTAAATCTGCCGAAGAATTTCAAAATTTTTATGAGCGCTTTTTTTCTCTTGTTAAAATTAATTTTCATTTTTTCCCTCTTCTAAGGTTATGTACGCTTTCCTTACATTTTATACCACTGTTGATCACGTACCCGTTGACTTGCTATTCTGAAAAAGTGTCTGAGCTTTGGTGGAAATTCGCAATTTGGGTATTACAGTCAAGTGGACCAACATTAATTAAACTTGGACAATGGGCAAGTACAAGACGTGATCTTTTTTCAAAAGAATTTTGCGACAGGGTTTGTTTTTTTATTCACTTTTAATTGGCTGAGACCTTATTCTCTTTAGTACTTTTAATTTTTCAGCTTTCTGTTTTACATAATAGAGTCTCAAATGTTGACTGGAAAAGATCGCGTGGAAAGATTGATGAATTATTTGGTGGATCTCACTGGGAATCTTTTATTAAAAACATTAGTTCGAGACCAGTTGGATCAGGTTGCATTGCGGAGGTTCACTTAAGCAACTTCATTCATTCTTTCAAAGTAAGACGCTTAGCTTGCTTTTATTTACAGGTTTATAAAGGGGAAATGAACGTAGATGCTTTTGAAACGAATACGGGTGTCAAAGCTGGAGAGTGTGGTAGTAGGGGTAATGTTGACATTGCTATCAAGGTCAGTTATTATTGTAATAGTTCAATATATTAAAACCTGCTTATGCAGAGTTATTAAGGAGTAAGTTTTTCATTTATCTTTTTTGAGGAGCGCTTATCCTGTTGCTCTACCTAGGCCTGTTTTCGTTCTGGGAAGTACACTAGAGCAGTAGAGAATTTAATAATTTCTCGAGTCATCTTCAGTTTTAGGTTGTAAGGCCTAATATCCGAGAACGCATTGCCATTGATTTGGCAATTCTGAAAGCAGCCGCTTATGTATTAGAAAGTTTTATCCCCGGGTTTTTTTACGTGAACCCCTTGTCTTCATTAAATCAGTTTGAAATTGTTCTTCAACGACAAGTGGATTTAAGGAATGAAGCAAAAGCTCTGCAGGTACCTGTCTTGCTACGTTTTACATTAGGACCTTATCGGGTTCTTGATATTTTGACTACAGTTCATGCACAGTCACAATTTCTTTCTAGCGTTTTGCAAAAAATTTCGATCCAGAACGTACACATGTTAAATTTCCTAAAGTGTTCTGTTATTCGAAGGACGTAATAATAGAGAGTTTTGAAGATGGCATGCCTGTCAATAAACTGGTTACAGGAGATGATAAAGTACGGAATTTTAACTCTAAAGGATATGAAGATAGATTGTTAGATGTGTAAATTCGTTTAAAGCAATCATAGATTAGGCTAATTTGTGGCAGTTGTTGCAGGAGCTTTCTCATCAGAATAGTGCCGTCAAGCGTCGTATTGCTCTTCTGGGTGCTCGAACCATTTTGAAAATGATTTTTGTCGATAATTTTATTCATGGTGATTTACATCCGGGGAATATTCTAATACGGTAGAAGACAATGTTTGCTTCTGCGTGGATAGCCGCCATGTAAAGTGGTCATCCCAAGCCATGCCGCTTACTTTTTAGCTCAATATCTTGAGTTTTAACTACTAAAACAACTAGTATTGTTGGTTCTTCTTTTGCAAATTTGGAAAAATCTACCCAAAAAGCTGACTGTTTGCAAAGTTGAAGAATTAATAACAATTAAAAAAAGAACCAGTTTCGCGAGAGATTTGACTATTTTTGGAATTCCTTTGCTGTAAAAAGATTTTAAAAGTTTCTTTCACGTGTAATGACACTTTATTCTGTATCGCTATTAGATTTTGCTTATTTTAATTGCTCGTAAAATGTGAAACAAAAAAAGAACTGCAAGGGTTTTTCTTTAAAGGGACAAGACTTGTGTTTTTTGAAGGATAATATGCTTTACAAAGTAGGTGGTGTTGAAACGCAGTATTCTGATGGATATTTAAATTGTAGTTAAGTTATAAGAATCTTTACTGTACCAACTTCAAATGCGTGCAGTTTGACATAGAAAAGCCAAAAGTTTTAATCTTTTGGTGTTTTGAATAATGCTTTAAGCTTGTGTTTTTTTTCAACCGTAATGGGAAATTGCATGCAGTTTACAACAACTGGCAAGTTTCTTTATGCTAACTAGTTATAGTTTTGATGGTAATGGAAAGAAGATGGGTGGAATTCATAGATCTCCTGTGGATACGAATATTTTTGTCAGGACGGTATGCATCATCTTTAAAATTTAGCTTTTTAGAACGGTCTCAATTACTTCTGTGCGTTTTATAATTTCCACTCATTGGAGGATATTTTAGCTGGACTTTATAAAGACAAAATTTAAATGGGGTTCTCGGCCTCGAATAAGATTTACAAATGACACGGAATATGAAGATGAACCGACGCTGGTTATATTAGATACTGGTATTGCTATTGAAGAAACTCCTCAGAATTTGCGGAATTTAAGTGCTGTATTTGTGGCGATCGTTGAAAAAAGGGTAAATTAATTTTTTTTCTTTTATATAATAACTTCTTAGATGAAGGTTTTTAAATTAAGTTAGACGAATTTTGTGTAGGGTTATGACGTAGGTAAGCTTCTTATTGAGCATGCTCCGCGAAGCGATTGCACTAAACCTGAAGAATTCTGCCGTGAAGTTGAGAGGATTGTCAATGTCGCAAGATCTAATAGCAGCTTACGGAAGGTTATTTTTAGTCTTTATTTTACTAGTTGTATGATTTTGTTGGCTTATTAGTTTCTTTCACTACTATAGTTGTATTGCTTTCCAGCTGAATATTTCACAATTACTAAATGAGCTGTTTTCGATTGTAAGCAGTTACCGAGTTGGTCTGGAAACTTCCTTCACAACTATTATTCTTGCTGTTTTGGTGCTCGAAGGTCTTGGTCGATCTCTGGATCCTGATTTGGATCTTTTTAAATGTGCATACCCGTTTTTGGTACGTGGAGTTTTGTGCTAAGTCTTTATTGGTGGATATTTTTCACACTGTTCTGCTTCCTCTGTTTATGCAGTTTTTGTTCATTAGGCTATTTGTTATAATTCGCTGTTGAAATTTTGCTGTGTACTTAACTGAAAATATTCCTTCTAATTCTGTTTTTTATAATCCCAAAAAAGTTTCCGTTACAGGTTTTTATTAGCCTGCATACCTTTTATTTTTGTTGTGAATATCTTTGCTGAATTGATTACTTGTTCTTGACTAGAAGCTTTTGTAATCTTTCAGGAAACTGTTTTCTTTTCACACTTATCAGTATGAGAAAGTTCTTTGATTTCATGTTTTTGTTGAGTTTCTTGACCAAGTCAGTTCCTGTTTTTCCTTCTTTCGTTCTTTTTGGTATGATCTTCCACCGTAACTTCTGCTGCCTTAGCTCCAACGAGCTTGGCAGAGGATTTCTGAAGCGTGTATTGTTGCGCGGACTGGTTATTCAGTAATATTTTCTGTAGAACTAAATTTGAAAATTTATAATTGCTGCAGGAGTTAGATCTCAGCCTTTCAATCAATCTAGGATAAACTTTGTTTCATCTCTATGTATTAAAAATATACAATTGTTTTCTTATATGTTGAGTATTGTCTTACTGGGTATTGCTGTGCTAATAATGTTTTTTTCACAAAATTATTTTGAACCTCTTGGATAATACGCAATTTCTCCAGTTGGTATTGCTTTTCTTATTTTCGCGAAATAGTTGCTAATAAATTTTTTCACATTGGAACTGCTTCATTTCGTTAGTATTGCCTTTTTTTGATATAATTGTTGTAAAGCACCTCATTCTTGTTTCTCGTGGTTCTGAGATCTTTGATTTGTTATTGCAGTCGTACCTCATTTCATCATTTTCTTTATCATCTACCTGCCTGTTCATAAATGAAGTCTGGCTTGTCAGAGCGCATTTTTGCCGTATAATATGTTTGGTTTAAGAATTGAAGAAATGTAGTATTCTTGAGTGATTATGTGACAGTGTTTTGGGCGTGCCGGCGGTTTGTTACTTGTCATTGTATGAAATGCAGAAGTGAAAAAGTGAAGCGTTATTTGGATTTTCAAGTGGCTTCTCAATTGGAGTTGTTAGCAAAGTCGATATTTTTTGTTTTTGCCAAAACATTTTGTCAATATGCTATTTGGTTCTGTTCTGTTGCTTTCGGGATGATTTCAAGATTTCTTGAAGCTTGTAAGCGGAAAAAGTAATTTACTTGCTTCCAGCTTGCTTCTTCGTTGTAAATGTAGTGTAAGCGTAAAGTAATTTGAATCTTTGTCTTATAGCACGTTTTTTCATTTGTAACTTTTTAGATTTCATGTTAAACGATGGGTTACTCTCGGTTATAGAAATTGTATTGCCCGAGTGGGTACTAGCAGTCGTACGTCATGAGGATTTCTTTTTGTATCTTACCGCATTTCTTGGCGTTATTATGCCCTCTTGTGTTTACTTTCTTTATCAGTACATTTATGGGATCTACATGAAAAGGATGGAGGTTATTTATTTTTTCTCTTTTTTTGGAAGTCGTTGCTAAGAAATAAGGTAGATGAAAAAGTACTCAAGGTTTAATTACCTCCTGTGGTTTGAATACTCTGACCTTAGGCTTCTCATTGTTTGTCTCATTAATTGCTTAAAAGCTTTTAGGAGCGTCGTGAAAGGCGACATAAAAAACGTCTACTGAGATCAGCAATTACTATTTTTTATGCACTCTCAAACGAAGCTGATGAAGCGTTACCCTTCTTAGTTGCGAGTCGTTTTGCAAAAGATAATCCTCCTGTAATTGATCTAGCTACAGTTAGGAAGAAACATTTTTTAAAATTCCAGGTAAACTTGAAAAATCTTTTGCCAGGTTTTCTTCTAATTACTCGTTTTTAATTTTTTTAATTGTATTTGAATTAATAGCCTTTTAAAACAAGCTTTGAAGTTTTTTACTGACTGCTTTTAGGGGAAAGGATTGTTTGTCATTTGTACTGTAGAAAAAGGTCGCGAACCGGAACAAGTAGAGTGGTTTTTCGATTGGCTAGATGAGCTGGTAGCACGTAAAAGGTCAAATATTAAGAGTACGAGAATGCAGTTTGCTATCATGGGTTACGGTGATTTTAGCGGCCGGTCGACGCGTCGTCAAAACCGAGTTTGTGTTATATGTGATTTCATTTTACTTTATTTTAATATATTTTTATCTTTAGTCTTGTGCGTTTTGATTTTATTTGTTTTCTTCAACAGGTAGACCGGTTTTTTAAAGGTTAAGTAAACGTAATGAGTTTTCCTGTGAGGAGTTATATCTGTAACTTTATATGAGGGAGTTTTTCTGTTCAGGCTTCTAAAACTTTGGCGAAAAGGTTGAATTCTCTTGGCGCTACTCAATTCTGCCCTGTGTATTCAGTTGACAGGAAGGAAAAAACAAGTAAATTTCCCACCTCTCTCTTTTGATAAAATGATTAAAAAACTTAGGAGTTAGAGCATTTAATTAACATTCCCTTGTTATGTTACTGTAGACACTTTCCAAAAAAAAAGTATGGCTTTCTTTGCCAATGCCGTGGTCTTTGTCACGGAAAGAAGGTTCCACTTTGATATTCTATGTTTTGCTTCACCAGGACTTCTCCCCGGAGAGTTTTCTAGCCAAATCTTTACAGGTCATTAGCACAAACTTTCAGATTTAGAGGAGTGTGCAGATTCATGGGTTGATCTTCTGTTACCAAGAATCGAAACTTCATCAACAACTTCCAGTAGCTCATCGACTTCAGAAAGCGCTAGTACGACTTTTAGTAGTGAGATGGTACCGTACATTAATTATTTTTTCAATTTTTTGTTAAAAAGAAGGAAGTGAATCATGAAGTTATTATTAGCTACTTTTAAAAAAATGTTTTAAAAGATCTAAACTGCAAAAATTTCAAATTTTTTTCAATGTAAGTCCATTTGGAAGCTAGAAATGCTGTTGAAAATTTCAGGTTTCAGAGTGACATTTGATAACCTGAACGCGATTTAATTTAAGCTGCCGAATTGTTTGAACATATTGCTGCGCCTTTTTAGCTCTCCCTTCTCTGTGACATCGTTTTGACTGTTTGTTTATATTGTTTTTTTTTCCAAATCTCATTTCTACGTCTTGAGAAGAGAGGTCTTCCAATCAAAAAAGTTTAATCTAATCGCACTTACCTATTTATCTCCGTACAGCTAATTGTCTTTTGGTGCTTTAGCACCCCCTTCTCTGTAACTCTAGTAGGGCTGCAATATCAAACTGAATTAGGTATTTCCAATTTTTTCTTTCTTCTTCGTTATTACATTACAGAAACGTCTGATAGGCATTTAATAGTAAAATTGAAGGTCATTTTGTTATACCGAAAGATAATCCCAAGAGGTGGCTTTATGACAGTTTGAAAAGGATTAAAGGAACTTCATACTTGATAAATGACCACTGATGATCTCTATTATTATCCGCATATCAGTATCTCCAAAAATGAAAGAACTATATGTGTCTGTTATGTATAGTGATAATTCTGGTATGATTGGCCCACCAGCTGAGCCTCAAAGTTGTCTAGTTTCTTGCGTACTGTTGGTGTATTGCTGGATTTTGAAGCCTCAGTTCTTACTAAACCAGGTTTTATCAAAGAAATGTTAATAATGTACTGTGTTGTATAATGACTTTACTGTTTGCATTTATTTGAACCTTCTTATAAGCGTTGACTACACAGTACTATAGGGTAAGCAGTGATCTCATTATTTCGATTCCATAGATCTCCCTGTTCTTTAACAAAACTGAACATTTTTTATATGAATTAATACGCTTTTATTCAGTTTAGCTAAAGCTAATGTTTTTAATTCATATAATGACAGAAGAATAAAGATTCAATGATTGCATAATACTGCAAGCAATTTATCAAAATGAATAGCGAAAAGGCACTAGTAGCTTTTTGCTTCAATAGTTATGTCCGTTAAAAGGAGGAACTAAAGTGCTTTGAGAATTTTTTTTTTGCGTAAGCCTACGTAATACGGAGAAAGGCAGATGCACAGCAGACAGATGACCGTTGTACGCAATTTGCAGCAGTGAGATGACGTCACTGGCACGAAGACGATTTGGACATGAAGTTGGGCGACTTACGCTTTGGAACAGTGCCAACGGATGCACTCTAAATTGCTTGCAGATAAAAGTGTTTTTTGCGGACCTAATGTCGCCGCTGTCACCGCTGAGTGGATAATTGGATGGATGGGGCCTGCATGAGAACACCAGTGAACGTTATAATCAGTTGATGGCGAGACTGGTTGGTAAACTATGTGAGAACTGTGATCATAGGTTGACGAAAAAAGCTGTTAAGCGAATGTCTGAAAGGTGGTATTTCCGACAGGAGTATTGCTCATGTTTTGTGTGCGAAACATAGTTTTAGGCTTGTTTTTTTTTTGCGACAATTTACTCTAAACATTGCTAGTTGAACAAAATAGGGGTGTTTCAATGTCGCTTATCTCTGTTATACATTTACGGTTGCTTTAACGCATTTGCACTTGCATTGTTACGGAGTGCAGAAAAAGTATTTGGAAGATAAGATAGCGATTGAATCCAGCGAAATACCTTTATAGTAACTGAGAAAGGAAGGGTGGTATTTTGCAGTTGTCAAATGGAAACTAAAAGGTAGAGTTGGCGAGAGGATTGGGCAGGAGGAGAGACAGAGAGATGGAAAGCAAAAACTGGCAGCATAAAAATTTCACGAACCCATTTTTGCGTCTTGAGTATATTGAATTTATAATTATAAGTAATATTTAGACCGTCGGGCGACATAGCGCTGGTTTTTTTCCAATTTTATC